TCTCATGACTTGCCACTCCGTTTACCCCTATTTCTGCTTCTTTATGCTTTGTTATCCATGTTTTCTGTGGTTGAGTTGATTGGGTTGAGTTCGAAGTGAATTTGGTAAGAAATGAGACACTTAGTCTCTTTAAGGAAGGCTTGGTTTGGAAAAGTCAACCGGATGTTGACTTATGCGTTAGAGGGCTCGGATGTGATTTCTGACGATTCGGTTAGCTTCGGGGGATGATTGTGACTTAGGAGTGTGATCGGAAGTGGTTTTGGAGGCCCAGTGTAGAATTAGGCTTGAATTGGCAAAGTTAGTGTTTTGGCGATTTCCGGTTGATAGGTGAGATTTTTATCCGAGGGTTGGAATGGAATTCCGAGAGTTGCTGTAGCTTTGTTAGGTGATTTGGGATGTGTGCGTAAAATTTCAGGTCATTCGGAGGTGATTTGGTTGGGTTTTTGATCAAATGCGTGTTTCGGAAGTTTTAGAAGAACTTAGGCTTGAATTCGATGTAATTTGATGGTTTTGGTGTTGTTTGAGGTGTTTTGATGATTGGAACAAGTTTGAATGATGTTTTAGGATGTATTGGTACTTTTGGTTGAGGTCCCGGGGGGCCTCGAGGTGATTTCGGATGGCTAACGGGAAGTTTTAAACTTGGAAAATGTTGCAGAAAATTCAGCAGCTGTTGCAGAGGATTTTGGTCATCGCGATCGCATGGGTAGGATCGCGATTGCGTAGAAGGGTTTGGGGCAGATCTGAGTTTGTGCTTCGCGTTCGCGACTCAGGGATCGCGTTCGCGGAGTGGGAGCTGCTTGTGCTTCGCGTTCACAGAAGACAGGTCGCGTTCGCGTATAAGGTTTGAAAGTCCTGAGGCAAGTGTTCTTCGCGTTCGCGTGAATTGGGACGCGTTCGCGTAGCTTGAGGAGTCAGAGCATCGCGTTCATGGGGGAGGACTCGCGTTCGCGTAGGGTAATTTCTGAGAAAAATAAAAGGGTGCTTCGCGATCGCGGGGCTGAGGTCGCGATCGCGATGAAGGGGCTACAGGACCTGGGCAGAATGTTTTAAAACATTTCCTCCGCGAGCTAGATCATATTTTCCTCCATTGTTGGACATTTTGAGAGCTATTTGGGAGAAATTGAAGAGGGTTTCGAAGAGGATTGATTGGAGGTAAGTCCTATGAGCTAAAAACGTGATTATTATGTGAAATTAACCTTGAAATTCATGGAAACTTGGCAAAAATTGGAAGAACTAGGGCTTGGGATTTTGAGATTTTTAAATTGGGATTTGAAGGGCCATTTGAGCTCAGATTTGGGAGTTCTTGATCTGTATAGACTCGTGACGAGATAAGGAACTCGTTGATGTGAAAATTTCTGAGTTTCGAGAAGTGGGCCCGGGGCTCGGGTTTTGCTAATTTCGGGATTTTTGATATTTTTTGATTGTTTTTGCTTGGGTTTTGTTCCCTTAGCCTAATGTAACGTATTCGATGCGCGAGGAGGCCGATTTGAGAGGCAAGGGCATAGCGAGCTAGAGTTTTGGCCGGTTTGAGGTGAGTAATGAATGTAAATGATGTCCTGAGGGTTTGATGATGAGCGCGGGGTCGTGTACTATTGGGGATTTGGACTTGGTCCGTCCCGAGTGATGTTTTTACCACGTAATTGATTGAAGCTTATTTGGTTTCATCATTTTATTTGACTAATTGTCATATTTGGGCTTCGTGCCAGTTATTTGAACCCTTCGGGGATTGCTATTACTGTTTTCTCACTATTTTGACATATTACTGGAACTCAGTCCTATTGTTTAATACTGTTTTACAAACTCGGCCACTTTTACTCAGATTTGAAACTTAAATAAAATTTCTAATGATGTTTTGGGCTGAGAACTACTATTTTTATTATGGCTCGAGGGGCTTATGTGATTTCTGGACTGAGTATGGATCGGGCTGCGCGCCGCAGCAGTATTATATTGATTTTGATACAAGGCCGAGGGCCTAGCTGATGCCACGAGATGGCTTGATATTGCGCTTGGGCCGTAAGGGGCCCCTCCCGGAGTCTGCACACCCCCAGTGAGCGCCGTCGACGATAAATAAATGGATCGGGCTGCATGCCGCAGCGGGTACTAGAGAGTACCGTACTATGTGTTGCATTCCTTTATTTGGGTATCATTTATTTGCTTATCTGTTGTAGCATTTCCATGTTTCTACTTCACTGGTTTGTTGATTTCATATTACTTGTTTTAAACTGCCGCATTATAGATTACTCTGTGCTTCTTCAGGATTTCTTATTCTCAGTCATTATTTATGCTTATTACTCACTGGGTCGGAGTACTCACATTACTCCCTACACCTTGCGTGCAGATTCAGGTGTTCCAGAGGCTGAGTGTGAGTTCCCCCGTTAATCAGCTTTCACCGGAGATATCGAGGTAGCTGCATGACGTCCGTAGCCCTGATCTCTCCCTCCTATCCTTTCGTTTTATCTACATTTCCTAGACTGATTATGTATTAGGATGTTAAATTTGTGTTAGAGGCTCAGACTTGTGACACTGGATCTATTGGGCTATGTAGTAGTATTTTCATTTGAAATTCCGCACATTTAACTCTTATTTCAGACTACTATTATGTTGGTTTGGTAATTTAATTGTGTTAGCCAATAATGAACTGTATAATGAATTAGGTTAAGGTTGTTAATTGGTCGGGCTAGCCTAGCAGTGTGTTGGGCGCCATCACGACCGGGGTTGGGGTCGTGACAATACATATTGTTTCCATCCTGCAAGTCAAGAGAATGGGAAATTCAGGACATATTTATAGAGCAATCCTTGTATAAATTAAGGACAGGAACTGTAAGTTCAGGACCAAGTTAAGGACCAAGTGTCCTTAACTTTTGAACTTGAAATTCAAAGTTAAGGACCAAGTGTCCTTAACTTTTGAACTTGTAAGTCAAAGTTCAGGACCAAGTGTCCTTAACTGTTGAACTTGTAAGTCTAAGTTCAGCACCAAGTATCCTTAACTTTTGAACTTGTAAGTCTAAGTTCAGGACCATGTGTCCTTAACTTTTGAACTTGTAAGTCTAAGTTCAGGACCACGTGTCCTTAACTTTTGAACTTGAAACTTGAAGTTCAGGACCATGTGTCCTTAACTTTTAAACTTGGAACTCAAACTTCAGGACCAAGTGTCCTCTACTTTTGAACTTGGAATTCAAAGTTAAGGACCAAGTGTCCTTAACTTTTAAACTTGGAACTCTAAGTTAAGAACTACCAGTCCTTAACTCTTGAACTTGTAAGTCTAAGTTCGGGACCATGTGTCCTTAACTTTTGAACTTGAAACTTAAAGTTCAGGACCAAGTGTCCTTAACTTTTAAACTTGGAACTCAAACTTCAGGACCAAGTGTCCTTAACTTTTGAATTTGGAACTCAAACTTCAGGACCAAGTGTCCTTAACTTTTGAATTTGGAACTCAAACTTCAAGACCAAGTGTCCTTAACTTTTGAACTTGTAACTGTAAGTTAAGGACGAAGTGTCCTTAACTTTTGAACTTGAAACTCTAAGTTAAGGACCAAGTGTCCTTAACTTTTTCAAAATAATTTGCAAAACTAGGACACTATGTCCTTAATATTCAGAACAACAGCAAAAAGTTAAGGTCATTGTGTCCTTAACTTTTTCAATATAATTTGCAAAATCAGGACACTATGTCCTTAATTTTAGTAACAACAGTCATGCTAAGGACACCAAATCCTTAACATTATGTCATCAATATTTATAGAATAATCACAGGACGCGATGTCCTTAACGTTATCAATCCAGAAAAGCAAAAAAAATCAAATTCCTAGTAAAGAAATAAAAATCAACAGAAACACACAAAAGCATAACTTACTGTAATTTTATGTCGATTTTTGGACGAGAAAGGTGAATTCTATAGTTTGAAATCGAAAGAGAAGCTTTTGCAATTTTGGACGATCACAGTCTCTGCTGCTGCTTCGAAAGTTAGTTACGTGCTGCTGTTGCTGATCGTTAATAAGGAGCGTAGGTATAAGCTTATAACAGAAGGCTATTTTCGTCCAGGCATGTAAAAGTTTATTAAAACAGGGGCTAAAGACTAAAGATATTTAAAAGAGGGCTTAAAAATAAAGACATGTGCTATTAATGGCTATCTGTGCACATCCTTGTTATCGTATTTGTATTGAATGGGTTTCTAATTTCCAATGCACAATAACTCGTGAAAATAGCACGGGCTAGCCAGTTTTCGAACTGGTAATTGAAAAATAGCCATCATTTTCAAAGTCATTAAAAAATAGCCACTATTTTGCTGCAACACAAAAAGTTTCAGCATAATATACTGGAGATTGATGCATCTGTGTATGAATTATTCTGAAATATTTTTCGGATTTTGAACAGTGTTTTTGTTCAGATTTATCTTTACATGAAAAATGGCTAAATTTCAATTACTTTTGAAACTATAGCTATTTTTCAATTACCACTAGTAAATCTGGCTATTTCTCTGTATCAGTTAGAAGTTCCGGCTCAAAACAAGGATAAAGCTATTCGTTCCTAGAAATCACCATAGAGTTGAGTCATGAGCATATCATTTGTATCATCAACAAGATCCTTTTTTGTTGTTAGGATGAACAAGAAGCCATAGCAGAGTCATCCCGAAAAGATGTACTCATATAAACAAAAGATTCAACAGTTCCAGTGAGTACTTAGTGCTGATGAACAAAATGTCACAAAGATGTGATTTCCACAGACGATGGCTCCACTGCATAATTACCCGTTTTCTCAAAGAAACAATCTTCAAGGAAATCCAAGCCACCTAACAGAACTTAGGACATCAAAATACCCACTGATACAAAACCAAGGGGCTCCATAAGTTCATGAATCACAAAAAAAATCGGTACGCCTGGCCCTTTCTAATCCCAATTGTTTCTCTGCCAGTTCATTTGCCCAAAATTACACCAGGACAATCATACACTAAAGAATGTTCCAGGAAAATTTGAATAAGGTTTGGAACTTCAAAAGCAAAAAGACAGGGGGATAAAAAACAATAAGAAATTAGAAACAATAACATGGCAAATTTATTCAAAGCATAACATGAGCTAGACGCAACTACACAGATTCACAGAAGGAACTATGGAAACTTAGTTAAAGGAAATCTACTTAAATGAAGTAAGAAGGCTCAATTATGGTGGATCTTCAATTATCTTGTCCAATATATCTGTATTAGTAAGAAGGCTCCTTTATGGTGGAATTTCAATTATTTCCTCCAATATATCTGTATTTGTGAGAAGGTAGTTTCTCAACTCCTGCAGCTCCATACATATAAAGTTGTTCAATTTAACTTTCTTTAGTTCATGCCTCCAACATTTCCAAGGCAGCAATGCACAACAAGGTTTCTCATCTTCATCATCAGCTGCATCTCTGTATGTAAACTACAAAACCAGGAAAACCATGACAGAAACAAAGGTAATGAATATCTCCATGAACAATCAATCATGAAACTAATATAGAAAGGTTAACAGTCACTGTGAGGGAAGGGGAAGCTTCATGGAATTAGGTATATCAAAATAATGTTCAGTTCGAGCAGATAAGACGTGCATATGTCCCTGCTTTTCCAGTATTATGAACTAAAAATTCTTCTGTTTATATTGTTTCTTGAAGTTGACCGAGCACACAACAACAATAATAATAACCACCACAAAAACAACAGCGAAACCTCAACAACAACAATAATAATAATAACCACCACCACAACAACAATTAAACCTCAACTAAAAGCAAGTTGGAATTGGTTATATGATTCTCACTTACCATGCCGTTCTGATCTCAGACTCCTATTTTAAAAAAAATAATGATAATGATAATGATAATAATAATAATAATAATAATAATAATAAGTTCCAAAATTCTCTATATTTTCAAATGGCATGTAGGGATGGCAGACGGTGCGGGTGCGGGGTGGTTTATGTCTTAACCCGCAAAATTTTAACCCGCCCTGCCCCGCATAGCACTTAAACCCGCGTTCACCCGCCTTACACCCACACCCCCGTCCACCCGCGCAGCATTTTTTTTTTTTTTTTTTTTTTTAAGATTTGTCTCTTCCTTTTCTTTTGGACAGTAGTTGCAATCACAATTCATAGTGCCAGCACTTGTTTTTCTTCATCTAAACCTCGTTTTACTTAAACAAATTCCACTTTAAACATATAGTGCTGGACCAAAAATCAAGTTTTCACATGTGTGAACAGATTTCAATCAGACAAAGGGATTCTCTGTTTGACCGAAAATCAGTCCTTAATTACCGGAAATTAGTCCTATTAATACTCTTCTTTACCTAATCGTTTGATCAGATTATACAACCCATTACATTCAATACACATTTCTCCTCTACATTAATGTCACAACCAAAAAAATGTACGAATCCTCCAAAGGAAAGTAGCACTTGTTTAATTTTCTAGTTGTTATTTTTCGTATATAGTAAGAAAATAATAATTAGATTAATGGAACATTATAAATATTTTGTGCATCTGTAAACTTAAAGTTGTTTCCATAAAAATGTGTTTGTTTCAATATCCTAATAGTATATTTATAAACATATATGTTATGTTATTGTGTGTACATAATATACATCAAATATAAATTATATACTATCACATATACGTAGTATATATTTCACATAAAAAATATACTTAAACTATATATAGATCTCATCAAGTGTATATAATTTATACATTAAATATACATAATACTTGTATCGAATATGTATATTGGTTTATACATCACATATACAAAATTATACGTTGAATAGACATAAAAATGAGTTCGGTATAGGCAAATATACATAATATATTCACTCTATATATACACACACACACACACACACACACACACATTGTAAAAATTTTATCACATTTGTATATATACACCTTCGAACACAGAATTAAAAATGTGAATATATTTAGATTGTGTTTGCATAATAAAAAAAAGAAATTCTAGCAGCAATTTGTTAGGGGAACTTTCTAAAAATGGTAAGTTTAGATTAATGATGAGAGAGAAATAGGAGAAATTAATATGGTTCAAAATTAATTCCTTAAATTGTGGATTGTGTTTAAAAATTTGAAGAATACTAAACATATATGGTCTATAAAAATTTTGCAGATTTCATGGGTTAAACAAATAGATTCTGAAAACACACATCTCAAGGGAAACCCAACAGTCAAAGAAGATTGAACATTTTAGGTTTTACTTCAAAAAATTAAATCCCAACCCGCGACCCGCCCTGCCCCGCATTAATTTTTTTTTATTTTTAAATATTAGAATCCGCCCTCGCAAACGCTGCAACCCGCAGCCGCACCGCCCTATTGCCATCCCTAATGGCATGTATATAAATCTCATATAGGATTAAAAGACTCCTAATAAACATCAGACCTAAACTAAAGTGGCTAAGACATAGTCTTAACTAATAGACCCGCGACACATAACTTTAAGTTTATTCACTTGGCACAATTTCTCTAACCATTTACAAATCAATCAAGAACACCTGGCCCTTAACCAGTCAGCAGACTAATACGTTTGCGGATATTTATGGGAAGTAAGTTTATACAAACAACTTTTTAAGGGGCTACAAAGGGTTTTGTTACCTCGCTAATCTTTATGTATGTAGGTGATTGCATTTTTGCATATGTTGGTTGACTAACTGTCAGGTTTTGGCTAATCTGCTCATAATTGTACTATTAGGTAAACAAAAGATCTTAAACCAAGTATGAAGGTTTTGTCACAAAAAAAAAGGAATCAAGGGCAAGTAAAAAAGGGAACTAACGGTCAGAAAACCACACATAAAGAATAAAGGTGCAAGAAACCTTACCTTCAGGGTCTTTAAGTCTTCAGTCCCACAGCCAAAATATAGGCTGTCCAGTTGAGGAGAAATCCAGAGCAAACTATCCACAACGTCCACAACTAAATGATTCAATGGATTCATAATTGTTACACGCAAACACTTAGCATCGTAAAGTGGAGGAAGCAAGTTCTCTCTCATGTCTTTTGGTATAACTATCTCCTGCACAAACAAAAAGAAGAATTATGAGAAATCCAGAACCACGTCTTCAAGCAGGGAGCAAGAAGACAACGTGTTGCATTTACATACCATGTCATTCTCACAGCATAGAGTGATAGCATTGCAATTATTAAATTTACCAAGAGACTTTATCAGCTTAGAGTACCAAGGATTGTCAAGGGTTTCTGGGATCAGACAGAGACAAGCTTCCAGCAGATTTGAAGCTTTCAGATTGAATGCGGGCAAGGGATCAACAGTATCTTCTCCATAACGAACATCAGATAAGAATCCTAGTAAGTTAGGAGTATCTAGATCAACCTCAATCAGATTATTGCACGCAGTTACTTGGAAATACTTGAGCCGATCACTTGAGATATTCACGGTCTTCAACGACGAACAACAAGATAAGTGAAAGATTTCAAGGTTGGGTATATTTGGAAGAAGCTCCTCTAACCATTGGTCAGTGACAGCCTCAACAGTCAAGAGCTCCAAATGCTTTAGGGATTTGCAAGCAGTTATCTTAATTACATGTAGGTCCTCACAAAAGGAGCTAATTTCAAGGTCTTTAAGATTAGGTGCTGCAATATCAACCATCTGGAATTGATCTGGGCAATCTTCCAAATATACCGCCCTTAGTTTAGGTAAAGTTCCTGCTACTTGTAAACTGATTGGTCCATGAAATCCACTTAAAGACAAAACTTCTAAATCGCTACAGCTTGCGCATAGAGCTTGAAGTAATTGCTCGTCCAAAAACGAGTCAGCGAGGTATAACTCTCGCAAAGATGAAAATTTTATGCCATCAGAGGGTAGTTCGAGCTCAAATCCGCCTAAACGAAGCACGTTTAGAGCTTTGGAAGCAAAGATTGCTTCAGGCAACTTGATGTAAGTGTGTGTGCGTTCAACCTCTATAGACAACTCTTTGATATTACAGGCTACCAGTATATTAATCCAATTATCCACATAATTAGAGGTTAACGAAGCATATGGTAACTTTACCATGAACCTTTGTATAGAGATGTTCTGCTTTTGCCGATCTGCTAGAATTCGAGTCACAATGTTTTTTGACTTGCTGAAAATATCATTACCAAAATTTAAGCAGGAGAGGGAAGCCCAAGCACTGTTCCAAGCCTTGGACAATGTACTAGTGTTCAGAGCATCTTTAACAACAAGTAAAGACTGAATGTGCTCCAAAATTGACACTGGCAGTTCCGAAATTTGATCTGTCCCTTCCATTGCTGCCAAAATTTCTATAACCCTTTAGCACAGAATAAAAATACAGAATAGGAGTATATATGTCACACATGCATCTTAAACATATTAGTGAAAGGATTCGAGAAGTATAAGGAAAGGGAAAGTTCCTTTCCAAAACCAGGCTGTTAAAGGATTTAGGTAAGTGTAAAAGCCAAACCCCACAAGAATAAGGAAAGCTAGGAGCAAGAGGAAGAATTATTTATTTCTATTGTACGAGGGAAGGGAAGGGAAAACAAATGAGTTTGCGGCATGCTCACTTTGAATCGAAATGATGTCATTTGCAATAATCCACATGAGCTTTTTGTGGGTTAAAATTATTTATGTTTTTCCCAGTTTTGCTTAAATCAAATTCCTGCTTCAATTAAAATGATGTCAAACTATATTTTAAATTTTGATTTTTAAGTCATTCAGAAAATATAAAATGAAAAATTACTTTACGAATTTGTTATAAAATCTACCTATATTTTATATAACTGTTCATTATGTACTCCCCCCCTCTCTTTTAAATTCAAACTTTCGAGATATAATTTTTAGATTTTATCACTGATGACATTACTTACGCGTTAACATTTATTAGAAATTGGAGAGGTTCGGAACTCAAATACGTAATGCATGCAATATTAATATTAGTTTGACAACTATCTAAACTGGCAATAGGTTCTATAATAGCGCCAAAGAAATGCTTAACAGCAAATCAGGAAGAAGAAAAAAAGTAAAGGAAGGTCACTCAGTCAAACAAGAAGCTAACAAATATTATGTTTTTCTTGCAATAAATGAAAGGAAATTATTCGTTCTGCATGCACTGTGGCCCAAATTGAAAATAGCCCAACCAACAAATAAAAACAAAATCGAACAGAATTCAAACACAATCACCCTAAATCAATTTTAGTGCCCCAGAAAACCCGAAAAAAATAGAACACATCCAAACAGTAGAAAGCCACAAAAAAATTCACAAATTCGAGATTAAATTGGAGAAAATCGAGCATTAACTTGCATTTCCGTTGGGTAGGGGGACGGGGAAAGGAAGAAATGTAGAAACAGATGTCAGATGGTGCAAGAAAGAATCGAACTACACTGAAGAATTGGAGATTTGGTACCAGCGATTTGTACGAAGCTGGCTGATTCTTCAATGTTCCCAAGCGAGTGATGAAATCCGGCTACAGGTTTTCGAATAAGAAAATAAGAATACTTATATATATATATATATATATATATATATATATATATATATATATATATTAAAATTAACATATCTGATCAAACTTGTAGGAAAAAAAAATACTCACTAAAATACTTTTTAGAAAAAGTATTTTTTAAAATAAACTGATTTTTTAAATTTGGCCAAACATACTACTTTATGGAAAAGCGCCTATGCCAAAAAAAAAAATGAGGAAAGGGCCAAATTTAACCGTTTAACTTTCTAATATTGCGTATGTTTATCTTATGTTATATTATTCGATCATATTTACTTACACCATTAATAATTTTCGACTAAATTTATCCTTATCTCTAACAAACTTTTAAAAATCACTCTCAGTCCTAATATTTACCATAATATTCCAAATTGTTCTTCTTCCTGAATCAAAGAATTGCTTGGAAGAAAAATGGTAATTTTTTGTTTATGTGCAGGAACCTCTATCATTTGGTGGCTCAAATGAATATAACAGTTTTACCAAATGGTATTTTGGTCATAGCTCAACTTTCATTTGTGCTGTGGGCATATAATAACAAGGCAAAGTATTAGAGTTACACAATCACGTCAATTAGCAATTAATTAATTAATAACATGTAAATCTTTAAAATGATAATAATGGTAAGTATTACTATCAACTAATAAAGAAAATAATGTAAGAGAAGGAATAAGAATTGATTTTTTAAATACCCTTTCAAAAATAATGTTAGCTTTGGGGTAAATTTTAAAGGTTTGCTTGAGGCATGGATAAATTTAACCAAATAGTATAACAGTAGGTGAAAATTTCATCGAATAGTATACCAAAAGGTAAATATAAATAACATTCAAAAGTAGAGAAGTAAATTTAACCATTTCCACTACTTATATTATCAAATGATTATATGGGAGGGAAACTCTAAGAAAATGGGAGGGAGTGGGGGAAAAATCGTGTTACTTTTTTCCAGTAGAGACATTATACGTTTTGCTATTTTTAGAAGTCATAGCCAAGGGTTGATTGGTTGGTGTACAAGTTATATTGAGATTATTATTACTGAGTTATAATACGACGATTGAATAATGAAAATTATTTAGTGAAATTGTAGATGTTTAGTTCATTGGATAAAAAGTAGTAAGATATATAAGGTATAACATAAAAATATGTGATTTTACACTAGATAACATTTTATTTTGAGCTTTGTGAGGCTTTTGTTGAGGATAAAAATTGTTATCAATTTACTAAATTCGTTTAATTAGTCTTTGTCAATAATGTATTATTACGTTCAAAACTAGTCATATTAAAACACATTATCCGGGAAAAGAAGTAGCAAAGGACGTTTCTTTAAATTGTCGGGGCCGTCATGAGTGCTGAAATCGATTTTGATAAGATGATCCTCTTTTTGTTTGTTAAGAAGCTCACACACAAGAGGTCAAAAGACGAAACATAGAATGATCATAAACAAATTAAGCTTGTTGAAAGTACTCAAAAGTCATGGACTCTTGCAAGAATTAGTTTGCGGTCATTCAGACTAACGGATGTTGATGATGTGGGGCAGTGATGATCGAATTGTTGACATCCAATTTTGTCCCTCATTTCTTTCAAACTATTTCTTTAAGCTTCTAATATTATTAATAATTTTAGAATAATTATGTACCATTGTTATCCTAAAATAGACCTAATTAGTATCATTATTTCTATTACTGTTACTATCTCTATTATTAGCATTAGATATTCCTACTACTACTACTACTACTACTACTATTATTATTATTGTTATTATTATTATTATTATTCTTACTTTATTATTATTATTATTATTATAAATATTGTTATTATTTTTATTTTAATATCAGTCTTATCGTCTTTTGCAAAAAAGTATATCACTTTCCTTTATTTAATCAAATAGTAGTATTTATTTTTTAATTATATACTTTACAATATTTACTCTTTATTTCAGAATTAATGTAATATCTATTTTTGCAAAATTAAATGCTAGAAAATTATAATTTATATAAGACGAGTCGAACAATTTAAGTAGTCATATAATTTATATGATTAATTAAGAGATTTTAATAAGAAGTAGAAGCCCAAAGAAACACTCAAGAAGAAAGGAGACTAAAAGTCCAAACATTGTCTTCTCAATCAGTTAGCCCAACCCCAAAGTCGGACCAAATCCGCCCAACCAGCAGTCCAAAATCCTCCACTTTAGCCCAATTCTTGAACCCCATCGAAACTACGTCGTTTTGGTAAATAGAGCAGACTTAATCTCAACCGTATAAACTCTTAATCCAACGATTTACATTCAATACTTCACTCTCTCTCTCTCTCTCTCTTCACGTGATGTCAGTTGACCAAGACCCAGATTTTCTATTTCTCCGCTTCATCTTCTCTTTACTTTGCTTGAACAAAAGAGACTCACCAAAAATGGTGAAAACTCAGGCTGTCATCTATGTCACCACTGATCAAGACAGTACGACTCTTACGGCCGTTTGAATTTCAAATCCCGCCTAGAAATTAAGCTCTAGATTTCTCATTATAAATAATGATGTTTTGAGGCCATTAAAAAAAAACTCAGCTGCTGCCTTCACTCTTCAAAACCAGACTGAGAGCCGCCGCTCTTCCCCTCTATAAATCATTCTTTGTTTATTAACTGTTATTGATCTCAGAAAGCTTCATCCTTTTGACTCCTCTGCTATTTCTGTTGGGTATTTACCCTTGCATAAAATCGATTATCTTTATTTATTTTAGTCGAATCTGCTGTTGTTCGAGAGGAAGGAGCGCGCTTGAAATTAGAGTTCGATAGTGCATCTAAGATCCGCGCCTCGGTTCGCTACCCGCAAAAAAGTCAGTAATCTTCCTTTTCTCTTTCTTTTAATTCTGTAAATTTGAACGAATTTGTGCTTCAGTATTGTTGTTATTTTCGCTTCGCGATTCAGATGTCATAAAAGTAGGTTTCAACATACTTTAAGTGATGGTTTGATTCAAGTAGTTATTCTCTATTTGTTGCTTTTGGTATAAAGTATACTTAATAGTTGTATATAAAGGACCTGACTTTGTTATTATACATACTAGAAACATGTGTTAAGAAAAAAAAATATTTTCTCATTTATTGTAGAAACCATGGCTTATCTCTTATATAGCTCATGTCTATATGACTTACTTGTTTGTTCTGTGCTTAGGCATAGAGTATGTTTAAACTTACTTCTCTGGCTGTTTGGCTTAAGCAATTTCAAAAATGAATGTTTTGTGTTTAATCTCTGTTTCACTACTTCTGTATTAATAACATGATATAGAATGGCACAACAGATAAAAGATTGGGTATATATGAAGCAAGATCTTTGGAACTTGACAGTACACCGTTTAAACTTACGAGGGCATAACTTTTAGTGCATTATTATTCAACTTTAGACGTTAAAAATGTAATTTTTACTGTGATACCTAGTTGGATATGTGATGAGTAATTTATGGCTTTAACATATTTTATGAGTAGCATGATTGTATGAGTTTGCAGATGGCTGCGTTTTCTTAAACAATGTATAACTCTGAATCTATGAAACTCTTTTAGCTAAAAGCATAGTTTGAAACTTTATGGTAGCCACATAAACCAATGGCTAAGTTGAGTTGAGTTATGCCCTCTCTCTCTTACATAGTCAATAAAGATATATCACCTTATGACAAGCACTATGATTAGACCCCCTCTTTTATTGAAGTCACGAATGTGAGTTTACTGAGAAAGCTAACTAAGAACAACCTGCAAATTAGCATTTCATTGTAGATGTTCAATTGGTAATCCTAAATTCAAACTTTAAGAAAAATAGAATGCCTATTGGGGATTTTGTAAATAGTTCTTAATTCAAGCTCACTTAGATATTTAAGCTTTTTTTTTTAGAATCACGGTCCATAATTCCATTAAGCTAGTAATTAGCTAACTAAACAAGCTATAGTATTTTGGATACATGTTAAGATCTTATATTTTCTTAAGGGAGATTGACTTAAAGAGTTTAAGTTTTACTAAAGAACAAAAAGTATGTTCTGACATGGTTTATTTTGTTTACTCTCGCTTAGAGAAGCATGCCTTTAGGATAACATACTTAGCTAGCACTCACTTCATCTTGAATTTAATGGAAAGATGTAGACTTTCTGTTTATAGTACTTTTCCGGGAGGATAAGTTGGATTTCTATAGTACTGTGACTTTCTGGCATGACAAACTATTTGCTTTCGCAAAGCTTACAAATTATTTGACAAAGCTTATAGTTCTGTCGTTAGTCCTTGATGAATTTTTTTTTCTTGATATCATTTTTATTCTCATGGTTACTTGAAAGAGCATGGTCTCCTTCCTAATTCTATTTCCCTTTCTCTTTTGTATATGCATTTGGAGCGAAATATGGAGTCTTAGCGCAAGACTCGCCACCATACCCCGAGCATGGAGCCATCACATTACGCGTCTTCCCTAAAATACATTGGATAGCAAGAAAACAAGCGAAGTGCTTGGGGACGCCTATGGCGTCTTTCATTTTTCTTTTCTCTTATCATTTGTTTAACTTCTTTATGATTATCGATTTACTTGGGGTTTGTCTTGTATCAGATTTGGTAGCTAAATCTTATTTTGTTTAGTGGCATTTACTCTAGTTAATAATAAATTGCCGATTTTATGAGTCTTGAGAGCTTTTAAAATAAACAATTTGAGATAATGGCTTTATTTATTTATTTATTTCTAAAATATTTGCCTACATCAATTTTGGAAATACTTAGCGTTCTTTGTCAGCATTTATTCATAAAAAGCTTGCTTCTTTCTTCTGTTTTTGGACTATCTCAAAAAATTTTCTGTCTCAAATAAGCAACCAACATCCTAATATCATACCAAACAATTAACAACTTAACAATTAACCAATATAAGTCTCCACCATAACTAAACCACCAACTAACCACTAGAAATACTAATTTATCTCCAACTTTGATAAATGAGAACGATACTCAACATAAGACTATAATAA